CTCCTATTCCCTTGTTAAATTTTAGATCAGCGAGTTGACAGAGCCCATTTGCAAGCCCCATTCCAGGTATCAATAAAATGCATGAGAGGGTCAATCTCTTGCAGAACCTATCGCCTAGAGATGTCGCCTGAAGTTGTGTCTTTCAGGTTGAAAATAAGCAGTAATGTTGCCCAAATGCCTCTGTCAGTGAGGGCTGCCCTGTCCTATTCCCTTGTTAAATTTTAGATCAGCGAGTTGACAGAGCCCATTTGCAAGCCCCATTCCAGGTATCAATAAAATGCATGAGAGGGTCAATCTCTTGCAGAACCTATCGCCTAGAGATGTCGCCTGAAGTTGTGTCTTTCAGGTTGAAAATAAGCAGTAATGTTGCCCAAATGCCTCTGTCAGTGAGGGCTGCCCTGGCTACTTTAATGACACAGCATCCAGAACCCAGGCAAAGCTTACAAACAAAATAATGAATTAGCACGTGAGGGCTACTCGCAGCTGCAAATACGTATCGAAGGGAGGCGGGGGGGAGAAGAGGAGCTGTGACTGCAAACTGTCTTTTATTGGAGGTGCATTCCCAAGATTTTAGTTAAGTGTAACATAAAACTGTGAAAGTTTAGCAGGAAAAAAAGCTTTCCTCCCACTGGCCTGGCTGCCCAATCAGAAAGGAGCCCTGCACCTCCCTCACTTCTGACAACTATTTAGCAACCGAGCCCAGCTAAAGTTTCCAAAAAAGTTAGAATAACTTCCTCTCTCCAAGACCTCCGTTTTTGCACAACCCCGTCCTTGAAATAAGAGCCCTTCAAGCAACCTGGAAAACGTTTGGTCAGCAAAAAACTCCTGTTTTTTTCCCCCCCAAAGGATCTGTCTTAGGAATTTAAAACACATTTAAGACACACACACACCCCACATCAGGAGGGGGGGAAAGGTCCCTTCCCCTCCCCTCCTTGCAGAAAGAATGGAAGAAAGTTCCAGGTCTCCTGTTTCCCCCGTGGATAGTTTGGGGACCAGCGAAGAGGAGCTGGAAAGGCAGCCAAAGAGATTTGGCAGGAAGAGGAGATACAGTAAGAAATCCAGCGAAGATGGCAGCCCCAACCCAGGCAAGAGGGGGAAAAAGTCCAGTCCCAGTTCTCAGTCTTATGAAGAACTCCAAAGCCAGCGGATCTTGGCCAACGTCAGAGAGAGGCAGAGAACTCAATCCCTCAATGAAGCCTTTGCAGCCCTGAGGAAAATCATCCCTACGTTGCCCTCTGACAAACTCAGTAAAATCCAGACTCTCAAACTCGCAGCCAGGTACATAGACTTCCTCTACCAGGTCCTACAGAGCGACGAGATGGACAATAAGATGACCAGCTGCAGCTACGTGGCCCATGAGCGGCTCAGTTATGCCTTTTCAGTGTGGCGGATGGAAGGTGCATGGTCGATGTCAGCCTCCCACTAGCCGGCACCTGGGCAAAAGCAAACCCAACGGCCAAAGGGGTAGGTACCTGCCCGCCGGTTCTTTCTTTTTACCTCTAAATGCACCATAGTGAATTCTGCCACAGGTCCTCTTGTTTTCGTGGTGACGCGCCAGGCCCTCTACGTGATAATGCTGGCAGTAAGCTTGCTTTAAATGAGGAGCCCAAAATGTTAGAGCTCCTTGAAAAATCCAGCAGCAGTCCAGAAATAAGGCAGAAAGAATTCACAGGATAATCCAGACAGAGCAGAAAACATTTCTCTCTCTCGCACTATGCCAGTGCGTAGGCCACAAACATCTAGATTAAAGATCAGTATTGCATTTGTTCTCCCCTCCACTCATTCGACTGCAAAGGGAAGGGTTTAGCAACTGAAATGTTTTATAAGAGTAGATTTAAAATTCATGTGAATATACAAGGTTTGCTACCAAGAGGGGAGCAGTAACACTGAATGGAGAATGGTGTGAAATTTGCAAGAGAACTTTTCTTAGAGAAGAATTTGAGGGGGGGGGGGGGGGGGAGGACCTGAAACAGCTGCTTGTTGGGTGGGTGGGTGTCTGTGCTCTAAAGAAGCCAGCACCTAGAAAATAGGCTGTAAGTGTTTTTACAATTTTGGGGAAGAGGGTCGGTTGATCCGGTGAAGAATTTCTGCTCTGATCTTAGTAACATTTTTGTATAATCAGAAGAAGTTCTGTACTTGTTTATGCTTTGCCCATTGCCAATATTTGTAAAGCAGGGAGGGGCAAACAAAGCTATAACAAACCCCTGGTCAATTTAATATTTGATTAGTTTCCCTTCCCTGGAGTGGCAGTACGCTGGTAACAAATTCTTATGAACTTGAACATAGTTTCTTATTTACACTCAGCTTGTACTCATCAGTTTCCACTACAGGAAAAACACTTCCTCTTATCTTCCCTTTTTAATTATATTGGGGGTTTACTTTTTTTTGGCAGGAGGGGGAACAGAAGGAGGAGAGGAAGTGTGCTTAGGCAAACCCCTAAATTATTCTAAATGAGGTCCTAACTTTACGTTAAGTAAGAAAGATTTCAGAGTCCTCTATAAATCATGCAGGATTTCACAGTGCACATATATTCCTATTGTTTGCATGCCTGGTAGAGAACATTCAGAGATACACTGTAGAGCAAAAGTCAGATAAGATAGTTCATACAATGACAGACATTTATTAGTAAATGAAAGTAGTGTAATATGCAACAGTGTGGATGAAATTGGTTACGTATCCAGATCCAGATCAGCTCCTTAAAAGAATAAAGAAATCTCAGGCTGGTCTCAGACAGATTTCTCTCTCGATAAATCCATATTTATCAATAAATAGGACAGCCCAGAAACTTGATGCAACTGGAAAGACTGACTCTGAAATAGGCAATATTATTATAAGATGAAGGTGCAAAATGTAGATTTAAAACATTTTATGCCGCATTTCAGCAAATTCATGGTTCATTTGAGCTTAAAATACTCTGAGTTTTAATGTCTTTCAATGGAGTTTCTATCATTCCTTCATGAAGACCTAGAAAAAAGTTAGTTTCATTATTCTAAAACGTCACCCTAACAGGCAATTTACATTTTTAAGGTTAACTACTTTTATTAACATGGCCAGGAAATAAGTACCCTGCTGATGCATATATAGTGTTGCTGTAGCTTCAGCTACAAACAGAACAAAGTAGCTTTTTCAAACAAATTCTAAACTGTGTTTTATAAAATGCATTACCTTTCCTCCTGTTAATTATGGTTTTAAAAAGGCTAAAGCAAATAGATGACGGGGACGGGGAAAAGAGGGGGAATCCTTTATGGCAAACTTCTGTTATCTTTGTCAAAAACAGATGTAAAATGTCCCAAGCACATATTTCTTCAGGAGTTCAGATTGGCTGAATGCTAACCCTCCACAGAGGAACAATGCATTTATTCTTTTGTTTCCTAAATTATGTGCTGTCATTAGTCAATTCGTTTTCATCTGTTATCTCTGTATATCCTTCTCTATGCGTTCTACAGTACATTAGGGGCAGATAACAGTATTTCATTTTTTTTTCTTTTAAAACAGAACAAAACAATGTTTCAAGTGCAGTGTCAACAGAATTAGAGTTAAGCTTAATCTGATGAGAAAGATACTAAATGTGATTACTGGGATATAGTCCCCAGAGGGACGAATTAGACAGTGAAGTTCAGGATTCCATTAACAATGAAATACTTAAATCTAGAATTGAAAATTATTTGTGTATTCAAATAGAGCTTTGAAGAACTCTTTTAAGCATACACAATGCGCATTCATTTGTTTCACGTGGAGCTGGAATACGGTATCTTTTCTGTAACTTGACTTCCTAGCAAATGTTGGAAGTGGTCTATTGGTTTCTCACTTACTTTTCCTTAACAATTCTTTCCTTTCATCTTAAGAAAAGAAAAAAAGGCCCCCAAACTTTCCATTAAAAAAATGTTTTTTGTGGTGATACTGCAGAAACTGCTTATACCAAAGAGCAATGTGGCATGCATCTGGATTTATCATTTATTTCTGCCATCAAAAGCGACAAGCACTTCAAGAAATGTAATAAAATGTGCAAGTGTGACTTATCCTTTAAGCATGGACTCCTGTGTGCATTCGTCCATCAGAGGAAACTTGGATGCACACAAAGGAATTAGATCGATTGGTTGGAAGAAAAACAGGAAATGGCTAAACAAATTTGGGGCCAGATCGTGTATTTTGTAGGAAGTCTGCAGTTCTGAGGGTTGTCATTATGCCCCAGAGTAAAGGATCAAGCCCTTGCTGCTAATTATATTACCCACATTTCTTCGCTTTAGCCTTGGTTTTGAAAAGAAACAGGTAAGAAATTATTTCTCTTTGAAGCAGCCACAGAGCTTATTCCACAGAAAAATCAGAGGCTCTTTTTGATTAGAAAAATCAGAGCTCTGGGAACTGGGGAAATGCCACCTGGCCTTTGAGAATGCTAGTAGGTAGGTGACTGTTGCTGACATATCCAGCAATCAGAGGTTTTCCTGTTCTGTACCACGTAATTAAAGAAAACATACCTCTGTGATTTCAAGTGAAGCAGCTACAACTTTTCACTTAGCAATTAGCATATCAAGCTATAGGACGTTTAACATACAAATTCAGGCAATACGCTCCATCAATTTGCTCCTGGGTACCTGCATACCTCACCTGACCCCACTCAATTATTTTTGGGGACGCTGGAATGGCTGAGACATTCCAAACAGTAACAGTTAGGGGAAAAAAAGATTATTTTCTATTTATTGTTTTGATAAGAAGCTTGGAAATATAGTACCAAGCCAGAGATGTCAGTAGGGCAAGAATAAAACAGAACTAAAGCAGTGTAATCTTGCAAATACCAGCCAAATGTAAATGATAATTTAGTTCTACACCAGAATGTCAGTAAACTCTGTTTGTCAACATTACTTTTGATGTGTGAGTTACCAGTAAGGACTGTGGTGGGATTGTGTGTTTATCAAAGGCTGTATACATGACATGAATTGATTCTTATATGATGGAAGCATTTGCCAATCATGTTCATTCTGGAAGAAGATTTTAGTAAATGGGTGTATTGCACAACATCCTTGTGATTGTTCTTTAACCTTTGACTATGACTTTAGGCGTTTCTTCAATGTAACAAATGAATCAGTTGATTAGCATTTCTGTGTTAATTTGCCCTTAGAGAAACAACATTTCTTCTGGAAACTACTCAGTGTAGACAGTTGGTTAACTGTCGTTAACTTATTGTAGCGTTATTCTATAACTAAATCTGTTTTTTTCAAAAGCACCACTAAAAATGTAAACATACTTATTTGACAGGAAAGTTTTTAAAGTTGGTATTTACATTAATAGGTTTGGTTTCTACAGGCTAGTACATTTAAAAGCCCTACAAAATGCATTCTAGATGGTCTGTTTACGTTTGTGTCTTTTCTTGGGAAAGAATAAATCTGCTACGCAATATCAACCACATGCATAGCACTCCACCAGCCACAGCTAATGTGAGCCAAACTACCCAAATAAAGGACACAAGAAAAAATACCGAAAAAAGCATGAAATAGTGTAATTATATAAACATTCACAACCCATTTATATATTTCATGCACATATTCACGAGAGACCATTTTCTATCACCCATGTTTCATGCTCTAGAATTCCTGATGTAAATTCCCGATCCTATGAAGTTATAAGTTAAAAAAATATCAAGTCTGTGCATGACATACACATATTTTGGACAAACTGAAGGACAGTTTAGAACAATGACAAACATGTTGTTGTTCAACCTACAGAAGTCACTTCTGCTTTGAAAGCCCTGTCATGAAGGAGACACAAGGAAAGATCATTTTGGGAAAATGTAATGTAATATATATATTCATTCCTTCTTTGAATTCCTCCCTTTAGCTTTTGTTAGACCTATTTCTGAGAGAAAGAGTGAGTGAGAGCATGTACTCAATCAATGAGCTACCAAAACATGCTTGCCGTTTGCTGCACCATCTTCAGTTGCAGTGTGGGGGGGGGGAGGGGCAAGGATGGATTCGCGAACTGCACCTGAAATCTCTTTTGGTGACACATCGTGTCACTCTTCAGTTACGTGTATAACAGTAGTTCTGAGATGCATCTCCCGGTGGCTTTGAAATCTCCAAATCTAAAGTTTGTATATTTCAGTTCAAGCAGGACGACTAATTTCGATGAGCAGGACGACAGGTCAGAAAACAACAGAGCTCCAGGGTACCAATAGAGCCATGCACACATTCAGGGAACCAAGGTGCTTTTTAGTCAAAGCAGAGATTCTTTTGTAGCTTTCTGACTAAGTACCAAAGCAAGGGCAGTACACAATTTAATCCTAAATGACCAACTACGCTGCTAGGAAGAAAAGCCCAGCAGAGCAGGTCAAATTCTTAGTGGGTGTAAACCGACACAACCAGTCCACACACCAGCTGACAATCTAGCTGAATGTCTCAATGGATTACTCTAAGTGACTGGAGAATGCTATGTGCCACCACTTATTAATTACTTCTTAATGACATTTAGAA